AGAATCTACTCCTACATTCATACCTCCTCCCAGACTCTGCACCCCATTCTTCTTCCCCAGATCATAACGCACTCCCTCCAAGACCCGACATCACCTCCTGCATGCCAGTCCTCTATCCCAAGCTCTCTTACATCCCATCTGCTGTCCCAGACCCCTACACCTTCTGCCCACAGAAGTGTGGTGCTTGACCAACTTCTGGTCTATTTTTTCCACCACTGTTGGTGAGATTCACCATATGACTTTAGGTAAGGTCACCGAATTCCTTCAATTCATTCCCTCCCACCACCACCATCAGTAAAAAGATGGTAATGCTCATTTAACTCATGAGAAAGCTGTGAAACTTAATGAAGGTTTTGAGATCCTCAAATAAGATGCACAATAGAAGGGCAACAATTTCTTTATGAAACAGACTCAAGTGATGACAGCTCTTCCTTTCTCTGTCTCTTTCAACTGCTGCAGTTTGAAAAACTTCTATCAAGCCTCAATTCTTTTTGTTCAGACAGCTCCCTCTCCTGTGGTAAAACCACACTATTCCCTCCATTATCATCAAAATTCTAGTCAGCTTTGCAAAAAGAGTGCGCACCCTGGAAGATACGATACTGCAGCACAATACAAAATCCAGCCTTCATTAATCTCAGTCATTGTAAGCCTGTTATATACTCCTCCTCACTGAAGTGTTTTCCTCTATTCAGTGTTTTGAAAAATAAAACCAGGGGACAAGTTGTCTTTAAATTCTTATTTTAAACAGAGTTGGCTTCCATCTTCTCATTTTCATGTAATTTAAAGAAAATTGTAAGTCCATAACAGCAAGCAAGAAAGTCCCATCTGCCCATCACTCCTGTTACAATTTTAGGAAACATACTGTGGAGGCAGGAAAAGGGAAGAAGGGAATTTGTGTGCAGCCATCTTGGTCTTGTTAACAAGAGAGCAAGAGTCAGGCTAAGTCTGTGGCCTGACAAGGCCAGATCTGTAATTAGACCTGCCTTTATCTCTCGCCTCTATAGGGAGATAAGGACAGAATGCTGGCTCTGGCAGGGACCTTGAGATAAGGAGCGCCTGGGTGGAACTAAACTGTTAACCATTGGTGTTTGTAATGGGAAGGAGACTAATTGTTATTGTTATTATATCTAATAGACAGTATATAAACTGCTTCATAATTGCTTGTATTTGAAGATCTGCCTCGGAAGGAGGGGGCGTGCGATTCTTCTTCCCCTGTCCGAACCAGTTTTTCCCTTGCTGCAGCTCATAATAAAACTGCCTCTGGCTACTTGTTTCTTAAACACAATACAGAGTGAAGGCTTGTTTTCTTAAGTAAAAATTGACATACAGAGGTATCATGGTTCTGAGAAGACTGGCACAGAACTATTTACAAATATTGCAGCCTAGTTTTTACATACTATCACTATTGCCAACTCCCCCATTCCACCCCCAAATCTGAGGGACCAGTTGCCAACATGTCAGAGAGTTAAGCCGGGGCCAAAAGAGAAACTATGGTTCTGTGTTGTACTTAAATAATGATACAACTGTAGGACAGATCAGAACTATAACATGATTTGGGAAAATTGATTAAACTTTGATGATATCCTATCCAGACAACAAAATAAATCTTCACAGCTGAGGATGTGAGGGAGAATCCCAAACCTGAAACTTTTTTAGGGGACAAATCTGAGGAACTGTCCCAGATTGAGGTATCACGAGGGGAGATTTTGGAACAAACTGATAAACAGTATTAAGTCATCAGGAACAGATGGTATTCACCAAAGAGTTTTGAAAGAACTCAACTGTGAAAATTGCAAAACTACTAATGGTGGCTTATAACTGACCCTTTAATCTTCTGTATCAAGTGATTGGAGGATAACTAATGTGACGCCAGTTTTTAAAAAAAGTTTCTAGAGGTGATCCTGGAAGTTGTAGCTTGCAGCAGCATCCCCTGTGAGGCAGAAGTGTGGGAATGGGGGGAAGGGAGCAAGCAGTACCATGAAGACTGTGCTGCGGGGAGAGGGGACTGGCTTTAAGTCAGCTCCCACTCCCCCTTTTCCGCTCTTGTTGCCCTTCATACAGAAGCATCAAGGGGCGGAGGGAGAAATGTGAGCAGTCGAATACTCAACTATTTGCTTACATCCCTAATAAATAAACATAATTTGTTGGGGAAAGGTTAACATGCGTAACAAGGTTTCATGACTCATTAAATCTAATAGAATTCTTTGAGGTCAACAAGCATGTGGACAAGGGGGATCCAGTAGATATAGTGTACTTAGATTTGCAAGAAGTCTTTGACAAAGTCTCTCAAACGTCTTCAGAGGGAAGGCCCTCTCAAGGACTGATAACAGGTTAGGACAGGAAGCTAAAGATAGCAATGAATGGTCAGTTTTCACAATGGCGACAGGTAACTAGTGATTTCCTCCACAGGTCCATACTAGAGATGTAAACTCCCAGTTAATCAGTTATCATTTAAACGGGTTAACTGACTAAAGCGGGGTATCAATCCAGCGGGGCTGCTGGGAGCTCCCAGCAACCTACTGGAGCAGCACCCACCCACAGTGGGGTCAGGCTCCCTGCTGGGAGAGGCTGATCTGGAAGAAAGCAGCCCCTGTCAGTGGTTGGCCCCCTTGGGAACTGGCACAGCTCACTGCCCACTGCAGATGGGAAGATGCTCCTGGTCCCACTGGTTACCAGTTACCTAAACAGGTAATGCTTACCAGTTATGGTTAACCTTCCACAGCTCTAGTTTATATTAGGAAAAATCCTATTCAATATATTCATAAATGATCTGAGAGAGGGATACACATTGAGGTGGCAAAAGATTTGCCGATACTAAACAACTCAAAACAGTTAAGTCTAAAGGAGACTGAAGAGCTTCCAACGGATCTCACACAACAACAGATGAAATTTAATGTTGATAAATGCAAAGTAATGCATATTAGAAAACATAAACCCATCTATGTACAATCTAATGGGGATTAATTTAGCTGTTACCACTCAAGAGAGATCTTGGTGTCACTGTGGATCATTTGTGGAAGACATCCACGCCACGTGCAGCAGCAGTCAAAACAGCAAACTGAATGTTCGGAATCATTAAAAAGGCAGAGTGAATAAGACAATGAATATCTTATTGCCTCTATATTAATCCATGGTACTCCCACATCTTAGATTAAAAACTTTACTTAAGTCCACACTGCAATTGTGTTTTCAAAAAAAAAAAAAAAAATTGGAATAGAGGGTTTTTTCTGATACTGGTCAACTTCTTTCTATAAGGACGAAACTTTTTTCCAAAAGAGCTCTTTCAGAAAAGAGCGTGTGTGGATGGGGAAGAGGGAGTCCTTTTGTAGGAAGAAGAGGAAAGAGGAAAAAAAATCACAGGTGTCCTGGTGGCCACTCCACTCCATCCATAGTAATTACAGCTTAAATGCAAGAGAGCATCCATTCAGTGTGGATGCTATCTTTCAAAAAAGCAATGTGCTTTTCCTGAGTAGACACTCTCTTTCAGAAGAAGCTTTTTTGGAGGATCTCTTCCGGCCTCATGCCACTTCCCGCTTCATGGGAATGGAGATCCATGGCCAACGGAAGCTGCAATCACCCATATCTGTGGAAGCACAGTTAAATGTAGCAGTGATGGCCTGCTAGGATCCTGCCCTGGGGAAACATCTTCCAGCCTGTGGGCCAGTATTTGCCCATCCTTGTACAGTGTGCAGATTCAGCAATCAAGCTGTGCAGAGTCCAGCTGATTTCATCGGTGTCTGCACAGATACAGAAGCTCATGCACATACTACCAATAGCAAGAACGGAGCATGCATGGTTACTTTTAAAGTAAATTATAAGTTAATTCAGGTCTACTCAACTTTGGAAGCCCAAGGGGCCACAATGATGCTCACAACACATGCGGAGGGCTGAAACTTATGTGGGGTTGCATATATATGCAAGTATATGTCAATAGCTTCTTTCACACTGACGGTCATGAATACAAAGATTAAACCTTAAGCTGGGTGCTGGACCTAAATGTGGCCAGTGTGAGCCAGTCAGCACTTCTCAGGCTCTGCCCACAAACCTAAGCAGTCAGCATTTCCCACAATGTCCCAGTGCTGTCAGCACCTCCTCCCGGAGAGGTAGAAATGCTATCACCCTGTACCCCCATCTGTTCCAGCCAGCCTGTCCGCTCATGACTTTCAGTGCTCACCCCACCTGGGAAATGCCTCGTGGTTGTGGAGTGTATTCCCAGTTAAGGTCATGTTCAAAGGATCCCATCTGTGGGCCATGTGTTGAGCCCCATGTAAACCTAAACTGCACCACAAGCCGCAAACAAATGGACCGCGGGCCGCATGTTAAGAAGTCCTGTTTATTTGATCCAAGCAAATAGGCAGAGGTAGCATTATCTCATTTCTATTTAAAAAATACACACCACAAATACTAGCACTTCTTCCCATATAAAAAAAAAAAAATCTCAATTATCAGGGACGTAAATTTAAGATTGACAGACTGTGCAGAGCAGGAA